CTGATTTAAGAGAAAGAAATGCCCCTTTGTCAGAAGTAACCAAGGTCTGGGCCTTTGACCCCATGCCTACTTCAGCCAGAGAAGCTTCTTTGCAAATAGCCTGCTGCTGTATACATTTATGAAATCTAAGATCTATTAAAGATTTTTATTTTACTCAGAAAAATCGGAGCTGTGAACAACAAAGTGAGATTTGCTCAAGGTCACATTCCAGAAACCTCTGTCTTAATCAACCTGAGAGAACGGAGCTTCCAATGAAAGGGGGCAAAGGAAAGGTGCCTCAGGGGTGAGACTATGCTTTGCTTGAGGAATTAAGAGTAAGCAGCACGAATTTGGGATTCTACAATTACTCAGGCAAAACACTTGAATCATTTTGTGTTTTAGTCTTCTCACTTTAAATGAGAATACAAATCCTTCAGAACAGGTACTCCCAACATACTGAAGAACGCATGAGAATGGGAAGAGATGGCCCAAATACATTGAGACATAGGGCCTGGCGCATGTTTAAAGTGCGTGCATGCTGCATGCACATGTTATTTATATTTTCCCCACAAATAACTATGTAATATTTTGGTAGAGAGGGTCTCCTGCATGCCCTGTGCTTGTTGCTGGAAGTAGGAAGCCCTATGTACCATGATGAGAAGAAGACAAGCCAGTCTTTAGTTCACATGCAGTTCATTCCATCTTTGACTTTATGTCAGTTTACTCCCACCCATGTGCAGGGAGAATCAGAGTCAAAGTATTGTCACTATTTTCCCAACAGCCAGCCTCGTAAGATCCACCCATGTTGTACAAGGAAGTTTATAAGTGTACATGGTGCAGTACAAGACCAAACAAATCTGAGCAATGAGGTGAAAAGCCTCCGTAAACACTTACCATCATCACTGAACTTTCACTGGTATCCTTCCATTATATTCAGAATGGTTTCTCATGTTCACTGTATAATGTATTTTACATGTGAACAGTGAAAGTGAGATTAGTAGTGTGTGCATTTTGAGAGACTGATAATTTAAGCACTTTAGCCATCCACAGAATAAATGTGAAAGTAGCACCCCTGTGAGAATTGGTGTTCTCTCTCATTTATTTCCTGTTCAGGCAAGAGGATGACAGCAATAGGAGAGCTGTAATCATACTCCTTTCAAAGCAGTCTCTATGCTGGGTCACTGACTGCTGTGGAAAATGTGTATGTCTGCTTCTGTCTGATTAGTTTTATTTAGAACGTCAAGGAGAGGGATGAAAGGGGGAAGCCATAGAATAATTGCTTTTATTTCAACTTATTGAGAGGAAATGTGCAGCAGATAATGTAATGCATATGCATCAAAAAAGGATCATTCCCTTCTGATGAAGTGTGGATGGGGAGGAAATAAAGCTGGTGCAAACTCCCCACTGTCTGCAAATCTATTTAAAGTATGAGAGAATTCCAAGGGAAGTGGTGCAAATTCATCCTTAATACAGAAATTCATCTTTGAAAGATCTGAAATATCATGGCTTTTGTAGGATGAAACAGGACCATGGAGACCACCTTTCTTTTATTCGCACCATAAATCAGCATTTTCTGGCCACTGTACAACAGGCAGTCTGAGAATCGAATTCAACACTAAAGGCCAAGTCTTCAAGCTACCCAGCATGTATTTCTCTGTGATTTTCTTCTAATTTTTTTAATTGTTATTTTCTTTTAAGTTTTAGAATCTAATTTTATTATATTCACCCCAACGTCTCCAACAAATATTTAAGATCAGTAAGGAAGAATGGAACAATGATCGAAGCTGTTCTGTTCCCCTTAGAGTGTAAGCTGGTTGTACTTTGTTACTGAGTGTTTTGAGCCAGCACCTTGTGGTCGAGAGTTTCTGCTCACCTGCTGTTGTTGGTGGGGCAGCTACTATGCCTACAGCTGTGGTCCAGAGGATGTCTGAATACAGATACTGACACAACGGAAGCTACTTCTCCTTAAATCAGGCAAAAGCAAAACCAAAAAGATTGAAAGAAGTTCCAATATCTAATAGCTTGTCAATGTTATTCAGGATATACATTGATGTTATAAACACTTTAAAGGTTGGTTAATGAAGAAACTGGCCTAGGTTCACTTAAGTGTGACTTTGAGAGAAGGTCCAAACAGATAAGCACTCCTGTTATATCCGCACAACAGCATATATTTTTGCAAGTAACATCAGAGTAGTATAAATTTATGTGCTGTACTTACCCAAATACCTAGCTGGGAAAGATGTAAAAATAAAATTGGCACCTTTAAAAAAGTTTCATCTGTTTTGTGATTTTTTTTTCTTTTAATAAGATGCCACATAGCGCAAGGAGTGAGTTGAGAACTAAAAGAGTCCATATCTGTACCTCGTACAAGGCTTGTAAAACCATAGCTTTCTGTAATGTGTGTTTGGGAATGAGTGTGAGAAAGCTGCAATTAGGTAGCGTCATGGCCCTCTCCAAAATTTTTACAGTTCATTAGAAACATATTCTTCTACCACTCATTGTTTTTATTTTTCTCACCAAGGTATGTGAAGGTGCTTTGAACCAAAGTAGCCAGATATTCTTTCCCTGCTCAGAAATAGATTAGAGAAACAGTATTGAAGAGAACAATTCTGAAAGCAGCCAACTATCAACTGACTTGGGCACTTGAAATAATATTGGAAGTGTTTTCTGGGGTTGTTTATAGTTTCTGACTAAAACAACATAGAACAATGGTAGTAAATATCCAGTAATAACAATAACAATTTCATAAGTGAGCTAGGAAATAGTAGCACAAATGTCTGGTGAATTATTTACAGTCAGCAGATCTACAGAGAAATCTACAAAGGTCATGGTCTTTGATTTTTCAACTCTTGTCAGGGCCAGGCACTAAATTTAAACTATCATCTCGGGGGATATTAAAATACCCAGATAATCTTGATTTTATCTTAGAACGATATATTTACAGTCTACCACCATTTTTAAATGATCTTTCATATCTTTGCTATTAAAAAGGGGGAAGAGCATAAAGTCGAGAAAACTGAGACTTATCCTGGCTTTGTCTTTAATTAACTGTGTAACTACGAGATAGGTCATCATGAAAGAGAGGGACTTTCTTTTTCATTTTCTTTTTTTTAAGTTAGGGGTTCTCCATGTTGGTCAGGCTGGTCTTGAACTCCTGACCTCAAGTGATCCACCCACCTCAGCCTCCCAAAGTGCTGGGATTACAGGCATGAGCCACCATGCCCAGCTGGACTCCATGATTTCTAACGTCTGTTCTAGTTCTAACCTTTTTCAAAATATTTACATTATTTCTGTCAAAATTGTTGCTGCTTCAGTGATGATTATCCAGAGAGCTAATGCTCTATTTGGTTTATTGCATATGTCAAGATCCATGAAAAAGGGAATAAAAGGAAACCGTTAAATTTTACAATGTGTTTTCACAGATATCATGTTCTTTGATCCTAATAACAAGCCTGTAGGATTCTTACGCCTGTAGAAGTTGGGATTAGACCAATAAGAAACATTTTCAAGCCCAACTGGTCAGTAAGTGGCAAAGTCGGGAATTAAACTAAAGCTTAAATTGTGCCCAAGTCCACAGGTCCTTCCTCAACACCCTGCTCCCCTTACGCATTAACATTCTCTTAAAAATGTAGAGATGGGGGAAATATCTCTCACATTTCACTTTATGAAAAAGGAGAATATCAACAATGAAATTTCCCTTAGACTCCAAGTAACTTGAAAGCAATTCTTTGTATCTATTAGGCCAAGAATGATCTCTGACACATTGAATATTTTCGTTAAATGCCAGTAGAATAAATGGATTAATTACCTGTTAAGAAGTACATGATATATGAATGACTTAAAATTTATCTAAAGGTACATAAGCTTTACAAAGACATATTTGATTTTCCTTCCTGGCAAAACAATACAATTTGATTATTGATTGTTATTGCCAATAATATATTTTTCAAAGTTTATATCTCAGCCCCCCAAAATAATTTTATGACATTTTAAAAATGAGAGTTCTAAGAGCTGCACATTCTAATATTTAAGTTGCACAATTTTAATGAAATAAGATATTTACATTCAAATTAGACATACCAGAAGTCATAGTTGTAATCAAAATAAAATATATACAATTTTGCTAAGTTCAAATGATTTGTATCTATCTCATACTAATTCCTAGAAGCCAGGAAATAGTGCTTTCATGGGAAATCTTTAAAATAGCTAATAACTTAATCCAACTTTATATTGCTACATGAACTATTGAAATATTTAACAAATATGCATCAATAATTTTCTGTAAGCATTTAAAAGCCCAATTTGTCTACATTAATATCACTTTTATCTTTTTATCTTGAATGACACATTTATTTTAAATTGATTTAAAAGATAAATTACCAATGTTAGTTTTCTAGTACTTATGGTTCTCATTATTTATATAAAAGAAAGTTATAAAATCATGTAAACAAAATTAATTTTAATCAGTTTTATGAAAACTATTCTCAAATGTCAGTCTTTGAGTCACCTTAATATTGTGCTACAAAACCAAACAACCTTTTAAAAAAAGTTTTTGCCACACAACAAATTTGGCCACATGGTAGAATTCTTTAGATTCTAAATCCACTTTGCAGAATACATTACTCATTATCTATGGCTTTTATTTACCTAATTCAGAATCAGGTTACCCTCAGAGCATTGTTTCTGTCCAAGTGAAAAGTGTATTATAGGTTTGCCCTAAATTTCTGATTAATAACAAAGAATTTAGAGGATATCTGGGGAAATATGGTATATTAAACATATATTTAAGACACACACACACACAGAGAGAGAGAGAACGCATGAAAGAGCAGTCCTGCTTACCAGCAAGGAGATACATTTAAAGATGTAGCCATACAAAGAAGGCCATATGAAGTAAGAGGGGATGATAGCCACAAAAATGTTGAGAGTTGGAAAGCAGAAGAACAAATAGTAATGAATCAGCAGGTGCAAATAATATGAAACTCAAGCAAAGAGTGAACAAAGCCAAGAAGAAAACCTACCTGACAATACAGAACCCCCAGACACAGTACTAACTTGTACCTCTGGAAGTGGATGTGAAAACTCGGAACAAAATGGTTGAAATATAGTTACACTGCTCAAATTAAACTGCTGACAAGTGGTTAAAACATCCAGTTCTCCAACCCCCACCGATCCCAGATCCTAGCAGAAGACAAGAGATGTATTCTCTGCAGCGGGCAGAACAGAGGTCCCTAGATGAAGAACACAGATGCATTTAGAGTATGATTGGCCTGGAAACATAACATCAGTAAACGTTTACATGATGAGTTTTGTAAAACCCAGCCTTCTTCCTTACTGATTGCTGGCAGCCAAGGCTACAACATCAAGGTAAGAGATTAGAAAAATGTTCTCAGGGATCTGATCTGCCCAAGTAGGAACATCTGTATGTATTGCCACAACCAGATAATCATACAGTAAACCCAACAGTGGACAGAATCCACCAACACACTCGGAGTTTGCACTCCGAAGAGAAGGACACATGCAAATGTAGAAGATATCTCCAGAGAGTTTCCAAAATAAAAGAAGAGGTGAAAACAAACATGAAAAAACTTGGAAGGGACAGAGACTAAGACGTCTTTTAAAGCACATAAACTTTTTTATTAATATATTCACAGAGATATGAGAAGATATGAAAATAAAACCATATATAGGCCAGGCACCGTGTCTCACACCTGCAATCCCAGCACTTTGGGAGGCAGAGGTGGGCAGATCAAGAAGTCAGGTGTTCAAGACCTGCTGGGCCAAGATGGTGAAACCCCATCCCTACTAAAAACACAAAAATTAACTGGACATGGTAGCACATACCTGTAGTCCCAGCTACTCGGGAGGCTGAGATAGGAGAATTGTTTGAATCCAGGAGTCGGAGGTTGCAGTGAGCCGAGATCATGCCACTGCACTCCAGTCTCAGCGACAGAGCAAGAATCCATCTCAAAAAAAAGAAAGAATGAAAGAACAAACCATAGGAATGTCACGGAGCTAAATAAACAGTCTTTAAGAATTAAAAATAAACTCCATAGAAGGATCTGAAACCACAGTTGAGAAAATCTTCCAGAAAAAATAAATTAAAAAAAGATGAAATGTAGAGAAAAACAGATAAGAAAATCTGTGTTCAAAACCAGATTTGATATGGAAGAGGGAGAATGAAAAGATAATTCAAGAAAAATTATCAAATAAAAAAGACATGAGTTTCAAAATTGAAAGCAAGCCAACAAGCCTTCAGAATCATGGATAAAATAGACCCATATCAAAGCATATTCCTGTGAAAGTTCCAATAAAGAGAACGCTCCATAAACTTCCAGAAGAAATATAAAAAATAAAATCAGATCATTTGTGAATGATCAAGTATTATCAGGTCTTTAAATTTCTCAACATCAGCACTGAAAGCTACAAAAGAATGAAACAGTGGCTAAAATATTACAATGAAATAATTTCCAAACTAAAATTATTTCCAACAATGTATCAATCAAGTGTGAAAGTAAATTTACTTTTTTTTTTTTTTTCCTGAATGCATGTTCTCCAAAACTTTACAGACAATGCAGTCTTTCTCAAGAAGCTACTGTAGGATGTAGGCAAAAATAAACAAGGAAAGAAATTCCAAAGGGAGAGGGACATGGGATACAGAAAACGGGTCCTCACCTAAGAAACAATGCACGAAGAAGCACTCAGTGAATGGGGAAGGGGTCTCAGCATGTTGGCTTCCACTGATTCACATTCAAGTGCAAAATCTTGGGGAAAGTTTTTAAGGGGAGACACTGATAAAACAAATACCTGATGAGTTTTGAGTATTTTGAGAAAACATTTAGAGAATTATGAGGAGATAACTATTTGAAGATGAATTAATTTTAAGTTCATAAAAAACTAAAATAGTTTTTCTAAACCTAGACCATTTTTTGGAAATATTACAGTAGGTTCAATGCTCTTAAGAAGACAACTAAATACTTCCTCTCCCATGATATGTGACCTCAGAATAGTGACTTAACCATTTAGGAATCTATTTTCTACCAATCAAAAATTGGTATAGTCATTAGTCGATATTAGTCTTAAAAGACTCCTTCTAGAAAATAAACCTTGTCCCATAATAACACTGATTTTGTATATCTAGTATTTTTGTTGAAAGACTAGTTTTATTACCTACATTAAGAATTATCTGTACATTTTTCTTCCTCTTTTCTCCTCCCGTCCCTCTGCCCTAGCCTTCTCTACTTAAATTATTATGCCTGGTTGTTACTCCTACCAAATGAGCTGAGTGGGATGGAAGCAGACCAGAATCAATACCGAGCTGGGAAACAAAGCTAACACATTGTGCCTTCATGTAAGTCACCAAAAATACTCCATTGAGAAGCAATATATCATGGCAGTTAAGAAGTTAGACTCTAAAAGTCAACTGCTTGGGTTCAAATCTCAACTCTACCACTGACTATCTCTGTGATCCTGGACAAGTTACTAACTTCTGCGTTCCTATTTCCAGATCCTTACATGGGAAATAATAATGCTCCCTCGTAAAAATGCTGTGAGCATGAAATGATTTGATATATTTAAATTCTTAGAGCAGTGTCTGGAGCACAGCTGAGATATGTTAATGTTAGCTTTTTTATTATTGATATCAGGGAATTAGCATTTGGTCACTGTATGCCTGAGAATAAAGGGAAAGAGTGGGTTTTATAAGAAAGTTAAAACTCCATTCATACATTAAAATAGCATCTTCTTAATAATGTTTTTTATTATGAAAAAGGTCTATCACTGGTGCAGGAAAGCATAGGTTTTATTATTCTTATGATATTAGGTTCCTAGTTTATTATTGCAGATGCTTGGCTTTTGGTTGATTTCTGTTCTCAAGTCACAAGAGTTCATACACCTTCATTGGATGCTTAATAAACATAAGCTTAAATGATAATGTGACGATCCATCAGACCCTAACTTTAGAATATTTAAAGTTATTTTTTCTTTCGGCTACTTCTTAATTTTCAGGATTTAATTATACAGCTTAAATGTAATGTGAATGTGCAAAGAAAATATTTACAAAGGGCAGATGGGAGAACGCCCAGAAGAACTGATCATGTATAAAATCAGCATGCCAGATGATATTACTCAGAGGGCATAGATGGATGTGAGAGCATACTTATAATGTTACTTATACATTTCTCTTTGAAAATAGTAATAGCTTCCTAAATGTCTATTTCTGATCTCTCTTACATACAACTGCCCACAAAATCCTTTTAGGTACAACTGTAATCATAGCAGTATCCTGTTCAAGCATCTTTAATGTGTCCCCACTGGCTACAGGAAATACATTTCACCTGCCTGGCATGGTATCCAAGGCACAGCACCATTTGACTCACTCTCTTTTGAGCATAGAACATGATGGCTCTGCTTGACTTTACAGAATACAATAAAAATAGAATATTTGACTCTTCTTAAATATGCCCTGAACTAGTCACTTCAATGTCTGGATTTACGCTTTATACAACAATTTCTCCACAGAACTTTACACAGGAATCCACCTACATCTTTCCAAATTATAGCAATTATTTGTTTACTAAGTCAAAGAACACTTCTTTATGAAGCACTGCTTGTTTCACTCAAGCACATAACATTTTTCCTTTTAGAGCTTTCGCAATGTTTCCTTAACACTAAAATACTCTGCCACACATTACCTGTATTTACTTACTTCTATATGGTAGGTTCATGAAGGATAGAATGTTATCTTATAATCGTCCTTCAAAAAATCATCCATGGAATTTACGAAGGTGCTTTGAACATCAACAATGTTTAATATGTATTACATTAAATTGAGTGGTATTGACCACTGATACACTTGCTCACATTAGTCATTGAGATTAATTTTCAAAGTTGTAATCTGTCTCCTATTTTACAATATAAGTATAAATGATTTTCTGAAAGGAAAATTCTGAGATCTATTCTCTTAGCAAATTTCAAGCATACAGTACAGTATTAATAACTACAGTTAACATAATATACATTGGGTCTATAGTATTTTATAACTGAAAGTTTATACTTTTTGACCAATATCTTTCCTTTTTCCCCAACCCCTAGCCCTTTGTAACTACCATTCTACCATTACTATAAGTTTGATTTTAGTTAGATTTCACATACAAGTGAGATCATGAAGTATTTTTTTTCTGTGTCTAGCTTTTTTCATTTAGCATAATGTCTTCAAACTTGATCCATTAGGTTGGCAAGGACATGATTTTCTTCCTTCTAAGGTTGAATACATCCTTTAAGTTTGATATGCCTCAGTTTTCTTCATTCACTCACCAATGGACATTTAGGTTGTTTCCATTTCTTAGCTAATGTGAATGATGCTGCAATGAACATGGGAATGCAAATATCTCTGAAAGACACTGATTTTACTTCCTTTGGATATATACTAACAAGTTGATTTCCTGAATCATAGGGTAGTTCTATTTTTACTTTTTAAAGAACAGCATAGACAGCACAGAAATAAACCCATGTGAAGCCAACAAATTTGGGCTGAATTCTTCTCATGCTGCCATTTCTATGGTTGTTCTTCTGCCTTTCTCTTCCACTTATAAAGACCCTTATGATTACATTGGATCTACCCAGATATTCCAGGATAATCTTCCCATCTCAAGGTCATCAGATGAACAATTCTAATTTAATCTGAAGCTTTAGTTCCTCTTTGTCATGTAACCTAATATAGATGCATATTCTGCAGTTTAGGACCTGTACATCTTCGGTGGGACATGATTCTGCCTATCACAGCTAGTAGCAAGGTTTACTAGTAATTTAAAGACACAAACAATTAAGATGCACATGTGAAGCAGAGAGACATGTAGGCCATCCATGCGGTTTCCCACATCTTCTCCATTATAAAGATGCACTCTCTGGCCCACCCAAAGTAACACAGTGGTCTCTAAGTAAGGTACACAAGTTATTTTCTCAGCACGCAAGGAACAGTTAGGTTATTAATTATCTCCATTTTATGACAATTAAGTTAAATCATTAAGTGGCTTACATGATATTCTACAGAGAAACCTACTTCATAAAGCTACTCATGATATTTGTTTACTATATGTAATCCTAAAACAGAGACACCTTGTTAAGAGAATTCTACCGATAAGGACTCTCTTCCAAGCCATTATCATGTTGTTATCAGCATGTTTAAAAGTAAAGTAGACTAGATTACCTGCGTTCTTTCTTTGGGAACATCACTTGGTAATGAGAGGAAAATGAATTACAAGCCAGATGCTTTAACTACTATTTCTACTGTCACTATGCCAGGTGCTGACGCCGGAAAAGATATAATCAAACAAAAATAAAACTTCTGTACTTGTGGAGCCCACATTACTAGTCAAACTGGGTAAGGGGATTAATTATGAAACTGTGCTATGCTACGCTGAAGAAACTGGACTCAGAGGTGAAATAATGGAGAGCCATCAAAACATCATTTAGTCAAATAGGTTAGGAAGTGGGCACATATGGAAGTGGAAAATTTATACTAACAAATTCATTACCACAATACAGAAGACAGCTGATGAGTGTCCAAAAGAAAGTAGAGGGAATGGAAATGAAGAAAAGGAAACAAATGCTTTAAAATATATATAATCTATCATACTTGGTGAGGGCTGAATATTCCAGCAATTTTGCACTGAGGGAAAAAAAGAAGAAAAAACCCACATGAAATGGAAGGAGCAGAAAAGAACAGAGGCTATGTTGTGTGGGGTGGTATGTCCCAAAAGGGTAGTATATGCAGAAGATTTGAAAGCACATAAAAAGGACACTGAACACAGTTGGACAGAGATAGGAGATGTATCTGGTGAGGACATAATCAGAGTTGAACCTAGAAGCCTATGTAGGAATTTACCAGGATAAAAGGAAGGGAGGACACACATGCAAACTCTTAGGGAGTCTAATTGTTTAAAATAATCGCATCTTGGCCGGGTGCAGTGGCTCATGCCTGTAATCCCAGCACTTTGCAAGGCCGAGGCGGGCGGATCACAGGGTCAAG